ACGTTTTTGTTGCTGTAAGATGGCTCCCTTTACATCTGCTATTGTGTGGCCAGGGAGGTTGAAGTGTTCTCCTACAGGTTAGTCTTCAGCCTCTGTTTCTCATTTAATGTAAAAAGTGTTTCACACGTGCATATTACTGATGGGACAATAGAGCCGTTAGTTCATTAAAAGTAGATATTTTTTCATTGCTAGATCAGCAAAGCATCATATCGGAGCAAAACCAGCAAAGCATCATATCGGAGCAAAACCATCTATTCAAATTGCTATTAAAAATCCATGACACCTTTAGATTGAAATAAGCCTACAAAGAAGTTTATAACCTCTGCAAACAGAGGTTGATAATGACAGATTTGTCACACTTTTTTTGGACATGAGATCTGATTTAATTTTGAAGACAAGGGAAGGAGGAGATGGGTGTGAGAACTTGAAAAGGTGTCTCACAAGACACCGCAGTGATTGCTGCAAACGCCTTGTGTGATAAGGAAAGGGTCAGTTTGGAGGATCAGATTGCCAAACAATAGGCCAGATTCACCCTGATGAAAATCTGGATTTGGACTAATGCTGAAGCTACTTTTCGGTCTGGAGCCAAGAGCTGGTTGGCACTTTGCTCTGAAGCAATGCACGCAGACCTGTGGGGAAAGTTAAGTGTTCGGCAGCCGCGCTACTGTAGGAGAGGAGGGAGGGAAAGGGTGGGTAGATAGCCCTGCTTCTGCCTTTCCTCTTGCCAGTGGTAATATTCTTAATGGAAGATGATCCCAATCGATACCTCCAGTCAGCTGTTAACTGATGGGTATAATGGAATCAAACCGAGGTCGTGGGTCTTTATTGAAGGTTTGATATTAAAAATGCCTGTGCAGGGTAACAGCCGGGGGGCTATATATGTCTGCAACACCCATACGCACGAGTATGCCCCCACCACCACCAAACTCCGGACAAGCCGCAGAGAGTCAGTGCTGGGCGCGAGTGGCGGCAGGCGGCTGGGAAGTTGGAGGTTTGTCTGAGGCCTGATCGGGGTGTCTGCAGAGACCGAGACCCCCGGGCACCTGCTCGGGAGCCGCAAGAGACCCAGAGAGAGAGAGAGAGAGAGTCACCATCAGCCTCGCCTGCCGCGAAGGAAATGTCCTCGCTGGTGAAAGAGGACTTGCAAAAGAAGCTGTTTCACCCCCTGGGGCAGAGCCTGCGGGAGTTCATAGAGATCGAGTGCTCAGCCCACGACACGTTTTACCTCTGTGCCGCAGGTAACGCAGGGGCGGCGGGGGCAGGTGTATCGGTCTCTAGGAAGGAGCCCCGCGCTCTGCGAGCAAGCGGCGGGCTCGCCCTCTCCCACGCGCGTCCGGGCTGCGGGCTCCCAGCGAGCCTGCGAACGATGCTGGGTCCTGCTGCGGGCCCAGCTCGGGGCCTGATTTGCATTGGTCACTAGGTGCATTCCAACATCTGCATTGCACATCAGGCTCTTATATTGATGGCAACGGTGCCAGGCGCTGGAGGGGAACGTTTGCCCTAGTTTTGTGACTCAGGGGAGTCTCCCTGCAGCACGCTGGCCTGGCACCTGACCTTGCACCTTCCCGTTTCGCAGATCCTGGAATACTTGCATGTGGAATGTGCATGGTACTAGACTGATGAAGAACTATTTTGAAGTTGTATTCAAAGGGCTCTAATGCAAGCTCTTTCCCCGTGGCGGTCTGGACAACTGCCCTTAGAGCAGAGACTTGTCCCGTGGTGGGAATAGCAGGGTCGGTGGGAGGGGACGGCGGTGTACTGAACTCTTAGGAAGTGCTGCTCCTCTCAGAAAGGTTTTTAACTAATGATCCTGCGTCCAACTTAGGCTTTGGCCTAGTATAATTGAAACAAACGCAGGGCGCTTGTTTCGATATTAAACCAAGTGTAGATACAAGCAAAGAAGATGGCACAGAAGCCTCGTACGTGAGACCTTGTGGCTCTCTTCTTGGTGAAGTGTAACTGACAGCTACCTTTGCTCCGCTGCGCGCCAGACCCCTAACCTTAAACCCGAGGAGACGGGTGTCCGGGGCCTTGTTCCTTTATGTTGGCTGTTGACACGAATATAGCCTACATTTTACGATCGTGCCTGCGCCGCTGTCCATTGTCTGAAGGATCTTCCTTTGTTAAATGGAAGGCTTAAAGCGTCGCTTTCATTAATTCACAGTATGTGCAACAGATTATAATTGCATAGTAAGAAGGATCCGAGATTTCCACATGAGAATGTTTAGGAATAGCCTCTGGCCCAAGCACATTGTGTGCGGTAATAAAGCGAGTGACAGTATAGAACAGTAACTGGATAGCCCCTTAGCCACATGCGTTTTCCAAATGCATCGCTGAGAGTGGATAGAAACTGTTCACGCAGGGAGAAGAGAAGGGGGAGAGTAAAATTTGCCGCCCTGTGTTATAGCAGGGCATCGCCACTGAAATAAATAGTTTGAACAAGAAAAAAGGGTAAATCAGTGAAGAATTTGGTCCTATGATGTTGGGCAATAATATATATAGGGCTTGATCCCGCACGATTAAATGCGGGCATAACTCCCATTGACTTCAATGGGAATGTTGCCTGAATAAAAAGCAGCGGAGCCTATAATGCGAGCTTGTATTTGAAATAAGTGGCGAGCAACTAAACTGCAACACTTCCTCCCGCTGTAGTTAATGGCATTAAATGGGTTGGAATCTTTTGGGACAGGCCAGTATGTTGCCAGATTGCTGTCTCTGCTGTCAGTCTCAATCAAGCAGTTCCTTTGCAGTCTTAAAACGTGGACATGCATAAAGCAAGAGGAGTCTGAAACCATTAGCCTTGTCTGAAGTCTCTCTAGGTTTCTCATTTGTATCTAGTTCGGGGCATTTCCTTGTCTACAGCATGACACCTACTGCGTTGCTCAGAATCCCTGCACTTTTGGAAAGTTGTAGCCAACATTTAGGAAGTTGAAAATAGGGTTGGAAAGGAGTATGCATTTTTTCCCTACTTCAGACCAGTTCTGAAAAGCACCAGATACATAGTTGTTTATAATAAACTATTCACAATCTCATTTTTGTGTAACATTTTGTATTGACTATTTGCAAGCATATTTTGTGTAGCTAATTGCCTTTAAAAGACTGCTATTTTATAATACTAATTGTATTTTTATAATGACCATAACATTCTTCAGTAAACATGTTCTCTTCCTCTTTTTTTAGTGTTTGCAGTCCCCATCCCCTCATTGTGTTTAAGTATAGTTTCTTGTTATTCATTGCCTGAAGTACATCTTTGTTTAAGCCAAGGGATTGTGAATGTTCATTACTATAATAAAGTAAGATTGTTCACTGTGGCATAACCTTATTACTAGAATATTTACAAAAAAATTCATTTCAAATGTGTCTGCTATATAACTTTGTCAATGCCTATTTAATAAATATCACCTAGTGAAATACATTTAGAAATCAATGAAATTGTATTGTTTATACCACTGAAAGCTGTTCAGAATTAGGGAATTTATAAATATGATTAGTAGGTAGAAGTGAATATTACTTTCTGCTCCCTTTTTGTTCTTGAGGTTCAAACCATGTGCTACATATGGGCTTCAGGAATTTTTGTGAAGGTTGATAGTTTGTACAACTATGACAAATCTTTTTTTAAAAATCAGATTAAAGTTATGTTATGGAACATTCAAAGGGAAAAAAAGAGAGCAAAAGCTCCTTCTGAAATATTTGAGTGTTGTTTCCACAGAATAAAAAGAACAAACCAGTGAAGAAATCTAAACAAATTCACCTAATGGAGAATCTCTGTAGACATAATGGAAAATATACTGAAATTTAAGAATGGAGAGTGAGTGTGTGTGCGTGTGAGAGAGAGAGAAACCCCCCCACTCTAACATAGTTGGGTAAGTGGTGGGCACAGAGTAAATCTGATCCTGAAAGTTGGTGAGCATCCTCCAATTCCTACTGTAGTCACTGAGAGTTCAAGTTGCTCAGCACCTTGCAGGATACAGTCCTTAATCCTGACCTAAACAGCTCTTTCTAATCCGTGAAGTTTCTTGAATAGAGCCTCCCAGTGATATCATATAAGGTCAGAATGGGTGATGGCTTTGTGCAGTATCCATAAGGGATTAGGAGAAAAGGAGCCCAAATTTGTTTTACTTTTTACTGACTTTTCTATTTTAAAAAATGCTGTGAACGCTGAAAACAGGTTGGTATTTTTGTGCATTTAGAAGATGTACAAATATCAGGCATGAAATCTTTTAAAACAAAATTGTTACTGTTTTAATATCCTTTAAATACAGACAAATGTTTTCTAATTCTTCACAAGTGACAAGTATATATTCTAGCAGCACAATTAGTGTAAGATCAAAACATTCTACCTAAAATCTTATCCTTTCAATAGTAGTCTCAATTTATTCTTCCTGGTTAACCTGTATTATGCCAGTCAATAGCTTGTAAGAAAGAAAATATTGTAAATAACCAAATATTTGCATAGATGCAAACAGAAACCTTTAGCAGACTATCCCATTTAAAGCTATACTACAATAAAACCACAATGCGGGTAGATAAATGCTGCTATTTCCATGCCATATTCCCAATATTGTCTCTCTTTACTTTCATAGTGGCAAATGGTAAAAGTCTGGAATTAGGATATTATATACTCCCCTACATTGAATCACTAATCAACCCAATTAGTGGCAAAACTGAAACGTAGAGATGTCTAGCCATTTTTAGCAACTGCGTTTTGATGTGGTTAGGAGGGATTGCAAGGACATCTTAATATCATCCATTGGAAAATACAAGCATCCCCAAACTGCATCTCTTTTTCTTCTGTAAAACACCCCAGGAAACAATTTAAACAATCCAAGGCACTATAATGTGGCTCCTCTCCCCCAAGAAGAAATTTCAAACCTAAATTAAATGGGAAATCTGAGAAATGCTGATGTTATACAATTTGTCACGGGAATATGAGGAATAGGAACTTGGATAACCTAAATTACCAAAGAAGTGAGGACATATTTTAGATGAGCTAGGACTTCACTATTTCTAGGGCTGTTTCTTAACACATGTTCTTCTCAGATGTCATATGATTTTAACTCCTAGTTGGAGTCTAGAGCCTAGCACTAGAAAAAAGCAGTAATTAGTTGGGTTTCCCAACAGACAGGGCCAGGAAGAAAAAAAAGCAAGCCACCCCGTTTTACTGTGCATTTGCAGGAAAAACTATATTCAGTGTATTTGTTGTTTTGGGTTTGTTTGTCTCTGTATTTCAGGATGAAATACGGGCTTAACCCAGTAAACCCTTGCACATGGGAGTAATCCCTCTTCTGTAAGTAGAGTTATACACTTTAGCAAGAATTTGCAAGATCAGGCCCTACAATTGTTTTTATTTTAAATCTGTTTCTATTATTTTTTTAAGTACAGTAAAATGATTGACAAAAAAGCATAAAACTTCCTCCACAGGGACTACCAATTTCTTACTAACAAGGCAGGGCAAAAGAAATTTGGATAGGAAGAAGTTATTGCCAGATGTCCAGGAATTCCATTTTAAAAACATGCTGTGCTTCTAGTACTGGTCTTCACCCTTTTTCTACAGCTTTCTACTCTCAGACCAGATCACTCCCCCAGAGGGTATGTGATGATGTCTAGTGGTGAGGTCAGGCTGCAGCTGCAGGGGAAGAATGGTTTTGGAGTACTATGCTGAAGAAGCAGGCCATTAGGTCAGAGGTGTACCACTTCTCAGAAGGGTGCCAGAGTTACAACTCTTTGTATGAAGCCATAGACACCATCTGACAATTAAAAAATAAAATAAAATAAACCTACCTAATATAGGTGTTCAAATTCCAGTGTTCCCCCACTAATTCACATGCATAATCTACAATACTGATCTCCTTTTCAGTGCTTAACGCAATTAATTAATATTGATGAGGATTATGAAGAGTTTTTCTATCCTTCCTTCACTTACTCCCTATTAGCAGAAGATAATCACAGACAAGTTGGAACTTCAAGTACTATTTCTTAAATACTACATGTTATTTTTGTTTTGTATTATATTAATATTTTATAGGAAAACAGATCTTCCATTCATAGGAAGTGTATTAATGTAAATGCACAGACTCAGAACTGATTTTGGTCACAGTCCATCAACTCAGTGGACCTTTGCATGTGCATGGTGCACAACTGAAGTAAGTAGGATTCCAGCCACATGAGGATCTACTTGCACAGATCTAAAGGCAGGATCAGGGCCTTAATGAGTGTATTCTTTAGTAAACCCAACAACAAAGCTTTCCCACAAACAAGATTAGTCTTTACAGGTTGGGTTAGGGTGAAAAAAAGAATCTATTAAAAGCAAATAGAGTTTATGGGCTGCAAACATTGGGCTAAATTCTGCTCGCTGTGCAAACAAACCCATCAAGTTTCATATAGCTCTAGTTTTTAAACTATTGTTTAAAATGCAGCTTGATGAAGTATTTCATTTTCAGATATTTTGGAAAGCAATTGTCTGTTTGAGTAAACTAGTTTTTTGTCTTGCAGTGACTAAAGGTGGAGAAGTAGAAATATCTATGGTGAAACACTTTAGAATAGATCTGGATGAGAAATATGAAATGGCTGAAAAGTGGCTTTTGAAAGATCTGGAGATGATTGATGGAAAAGAAGCAGACGCTGTAAGTGCTGTATTTTATTGTAAGTTTCTATTAGCACAATGCATTTATGTTACAATTTGTGACAACAGATGAGGTGCAGTTCTACTAAGAAAGATTCTGTAAAAAAAAAAAAAAGTAGGCATAATGGGGATACAGATTTCTCATTTGTCAGAGACTCCAGATCACATTTGCTCCGCTTACAATAATTTTTTTTTTTGTCAGCTCTGTAAACTCAGCTTAGATATGAGAGTCAAGATGGCCTATTTCTTGCTTGTATGTTATTGTAGAAATAGACAGGGCTGGCTCTAGGTTTTTTGCCGCTCCAAGCAAAAAGAATGGCTGGAATGCTGCCCCTAGAATTGTGCCACCCCAAGCACGTGCTTGCTTTGCTGGTGCCTACAGCCGGACCTCGTAATAGAGATTTTCCCAGTCACTTTTTGACCTCAGCTACACCAGTGTAAATCTGGAGTAGATCAGTAGATTAACATTGGTGTAACTAAAAGGAAAATTTAACTCAATGTCTTCAGTTGAGTTACTTACATATAATTGAGGGCAGGATATTTGAACTTGGAATAACCTGAGTAAAGATGAGGAAAATTCCAGAATTTCAACTTGCAGAACTTTATATAAAATTCTGCAAGGTGTGGGGACAAAATTATTCCTATCAGTGGAAGCAGCATCTGAGGATTCTGCCCCCTTAGCTCACAAATTCTGAGGTCCTCATGGCTCTCAGCAGATCTTCAGGATGCAAGAGCATCTGCCTACTGCTGTGCTGCCAGGGAATCCCCAGACCATGCCTAGTCCCTGAACATTCCCAAGTGTTGCAGAGTGGAGAAGTAAGTGGCACAAATTTGTGTGCCCAGAAGGTAGCCTGCACCTATAGATATGGAGTGGGAACATGGACCTTTAACTAACAAATCTATTGATTTAATCTTGCTTTTTCAAAATTAAAAAAACTAAATTAGTGTTTGTATACAAACTTGCACGGGTTTAACTAAATCACTTAAAGATTAAGTCCATGTGCACCTAAACAAGGCCTAAGACACTTAACTTTCAATGATTTACTCTTTTTAAATAGATGTAGTGACCACACACTATTTTATTACACTGGAGCTTTCCCATGAAAACCTCCACAGATATAATGAAAAAGAGGTGGACCCAAAGACATGGAGCTAGCAACTGCATTCCCATGAACTGCAATCTTGAAATATTTGGGACCAAATCTTGCTCACATTACTTGGTTCCTCTGAATGTTTTTCATGAGTAAAGTAAACAGGATGTATATATCTTTGATACTTATACAGCCCTCATCACTAATCTGAGCACCTGCAAGTCTTTTAATGTATTTATCTTCACAACACCCCAGTAAGTTGGGGAAGTACTATTATCCCCATTTTAAGATACAGAACTGAGGCACAGAGAAGCTAAGTGACTTGCCCAAGTTCACACACAAAGTGTATAGCAGACTAGGGAGATCCAGGTTTAATTTCCAAGTCCTAGCCTAGTGCCCTAATGACTGGACCTGCAGCTAAAGGATTCAAATCAGTAGTAATTCATGTGTAACTATGGAAGGGGCAAAATTGGCAGTAAAAACAGACATCAGAACAAACCCAGAGACAGAATTAAATTCAATTTTACAGAAGATGAAGGTGCATTGAGGAAAATACCTTATTGCATTTACAATACAAGATTTTAATAGATATTCAGCCAAATGAATATAATCCAAGTACAAATACTGCAATAAATTCTACATAAAAATGAATTCATGCAGAGTTCTCAAAGAAAAAAAATCAGTGCAATTTTCTTCCAAGAAAAACAAATCTTGGTCTGAATCATTCACCCCCAAAAGATTGTCCCTCTTCACACCTCTCTCTCTCTCTTCAATGGAATGCTAAATTGTATTATACTGTTCAGCCACTAGATGGCTCTGTGTGAAATACAGTACTTCCTTTAAACAAACCTCAGCCATACCTGGCAGAGCATTAAGGGATCTTATGATGAACAGATCTTAAAGGCAAGCTGTACAGCCAGTCCATATCTGATACAGAACAACATGACATGGTGTCAGGAGTAAAGAATAGAAACAGAAGGGAAAAGGCTACAAAGGTTGCAAACCGAAGAAACAAAGCAACAAAGGTTTCAGGATCTCATCAACGTACCACTCTTCAATGCCCTAGAGAACTTCAACTTCGATAAACCTTCAGAATGGAAAGACTGGAAATAATATTTTGCATGGCAACCAAGCTGAACCAAGAAACTGGAGATATACAGCTATTGTCTTTATTTTATGCTATGGGGAAGCAAGCAGAGCATATCTTTAAGTCCTTTGACTTCACTGAAAATAGTCAAAGATAACTATGAAAGGGTTCTGACTATGTTTGATGCATACTCTATACCACTCTATACCTCATAGAAATGTTTATGAAAGAGCATGTTTTCACCAGGGAATTCAAGAACCAGGGGAAAATGTTGAATGTTTTATAAGAGCTCTGTGTACATTGTTTGAAAACTGATTTTAGGGAAGGCAAGACGTGAAAATATCAGACTGTAGTGGGGTGGCCACCACACTCCATGAGAAAAAGGGCTGGAACAAGCCAGAGAGGCTGCGCAGACCAGCAGCCGATCAGCAAAGGCCTATGGAGAGCCAGTCAGGACCGGGGTTGACCCCATATAAAGCCTGCCTAGCAAAGGAGACTAGCAAGGGGGAGGACTGACTCCTGAGGTAAGGAGTCCTATCAGGGGGTAGCCGTGTTGGTCTGTATCCACACAAAAAAAACAAGGAATCCAGTGGCACCTTAAAGACTAACAGATTTGGACATAAGTTTTCATGGGTAAAAAACCTCACTTCTTCAGATGCATGGAGTGAAAGTTAGATGCCTGCATCTGTAACTTTCACTCCATGCATCTGAAGAAGTGAGTTTTTACCCACAAAAGCTTATGCCCAAATAAATCTGTTAGTCTTTAAGGTGCCACCGGACTCCTTGTTGTTTTTGAGTTAAGGAGATAGCACCTTGGACAGAGCAGTGCTGGGCAGGCTCAGGGGAGCAGAGGAGAGCTCTGGCCCAGTTACCTGCCAGGCTGCGGCCCCTGATAAAAAGGGTCGAGAAGGTGCACGGGGCCAAAGAGGAAGTGGCCCAGGGAAGATAGGCGGACAGGAGGGGAGAGAAGGAGGGCAGAGAGAGGCTGCTGCTACAGGGTCCCTGGGTCGGGACCCAGAGTAGTGGGTGGGCCTGGGTCTCTCCTTTCCCCCCCCCTTGCACTGCACCTGGCCACGGAGGAGTGTGGCCAAAATAGACTGCAACTTGCCCCTGAGGTGAGGGGCTAGACTTTGGGGTTGTGGCTGGCCACTGAGGCAGGTGCAAGCTAAAGGACTGATGTTAACTTCCCTCCCCCCGGAACGGGGGTGAGACTGGAGTAGTGGGCACTGCCAGAGGGTAGTGTCCTGAAGCAGATGCCTCTGAGCAGGGAACAATGCAGGTCCCAAACCAGCAGAGCAGACAATGGGTGAGACACCACGCGCAGAAGGTGCTCCACGGCTGACAAGAGCTAATTCCTGGAGCAACGAGCAGGAGGCACCAGCGGTGATGAGTCCTGACCCCATTACAGACTGGTAATTGGGTTAACAGATAAAAACCTTTCACAGCAGCTACAACTGCAGAGAGATTTAACCCTAGCCACAGTTATACAGATAGCAAAACAGTCAGAATTAGTCAAACAGAACAAAAGGCAGGAGCAACTTGAAAAGCCTGAAACTAGCCTAGACGCTATAACAGACACTTGAGTGTTAAGGCATCATAATAAAACCCCTGTGGCAAAGAGAGAGAACTCCCAATCTAAAAAGAATAAATTCCAGCCAACATGCACAAGGTATGTGTCACAGGGTCCACTCACACAGTGACACCTCCTGCTGGCCATCCTGGGGATTAGTTCTGCCAGGTGGTGCACTTTCTTCAGGTGGTGCCTATCCCATCGTCCTCTCCCTCTGCAGATCCACCTCACTCCAGGAACCGTGGCATCCTCATCATGACTCAGCCCTTCAGCCAGGTCACTAAGATCCTCACCTTCCAGGGAATTCAGAGTCTTTCCAGACCTGCTGTCTGTCTAGCATCTGCAATGCCCAGGCCACTCCCCAGTAGCTGGTAGGGGAACCCAGGCCTGCCCTCTACTTGGGTTCCAGTCCAGGGACCCTCAACCTCAGCAGTCCTGAGCTTTCCTCTCCTAGCCCTCACTGCACCTTCCCTAGACTGCTTCCAACCACTGGTCCCCCTTCTCTCTCTGGGTCTACCAGCTCCAAAACCCTTCTCCCTCTTGCCAGGAAATGACTGCATCCTACTCACTCTGCAGTCTCAAAACACTCCTCCCCATTTCCAGAGAGTGTCTGCCCTTTCTCAGCAGCCCCCACTGCTTACAATTTCCTATCTTTATAAGTCCAGCCCAGCTCAGACCTGGACTCCTTTACTCATTCACGGGATTACTTGGCCACCTGATTACCCTCAGCTGTGGCCTGTTGGATTAATTAACTTTCTTTGCCTTCATTAACATTTTCAGGGCAAGTGTGGGTTGAACACCCATCACAGTGTGGAAAAAGACATATCCCAAGAGATGATGCATTTCCAGCTGAGGCACATGGTGTAATAATTGTACAATATATGGACATGTCTGCGTCTGTTTGCTGCACCAAAGCAGTCGGAGTTGATTCATATTATAGACAATCAAAAGTAATTGTTTCTGGAATCTATCACTTGTGATGACAGAGCCTGCCTGGAGAGCGAAACTGAATATTCAGGGCAAGACTACTGACTTTAAAACTGACTCAGGAGTTGATGTCTCAGTCCTCTCAGAAGGGATGTACAATCACTTTAACCCCTCCCAGAGCTTAAGTTGCCAGACACAGCTCTGAGTAGCCCTGGAGGTATTCTGAACTGCATGTACCAGTTCATCACAGAAACTGTTTACAAAGATAAAAGCTATGCATTCATAGAAAATCAGGAGGTCATCTAGTCCAACCCCCTGCTCAAAGCAGGAGCAACCACAACTAAATCATCCCCACCAGGGCTTTGTCAAGCCAGGCTTTAAAAACCTCTAAGGATGGAGATTCCACCACCTTCCTAGGTAACCTATTCCAGTGCTTCACCACTGGTGAAATAGTTTTTCCTAATATCCAACCTAGACTTCCCCCACTGCAACTTGAGACCATTGCTGCTTGTGCTGTCATCTGCCACCACTGAGAACAGCCGAGCTCTATCCTCTTTGGAACCCCCCCTTCAGGTAGTTGAAGGCTGCTATCAAATTCCCCCTCACTCTTCTCTTCTGCAGACTAAATAGCCCCATTTCCCTCAGCCTCTCCTCTTAAGTCATGTGTTCCAGCCCCCTAATCATTTTTGTTGCCCTCTGCTGGACTCCCTCCAATTTTTCCACATCCTTTCTTTAGTGGGGGAGCACAAAACTGGATGCAGTACTGCAGATGTAGCCTCACCAGTTCCGAATAGAGGGGAATAATCACTTCCCTCGATCTGCTGGCAATATTCCTACTAATGCAGCCCAATATGCCATTAGCCTTCTTGGCAACAAGGGCACACTGTTCATATCCAGCTTCTAATCCACTGTAATCTCCAGGTCCTTTTCTGCAGAACTGCCGTGTAGCCAGTCAGTCCCCTGCCTGTAGCAGTGCCTGGGATTCTTCCACCCTAAGTGCAGGACTCTGCACTTGTCCTTATTGAACCTTAGAGGTCTTTTGGCCCAATCCTCCAATTTGTCTAGGTCACTCTGGACCCTATCCGTATCCTCCAGCGTATCTACCTCTCCCCGCAGCTTAGTGTCATCTGCGAACTTGCAAAGGGTGCAATCCATCCCATCATCCAGATGATTAATGAAGATGTTGAACAAAACCAGCCCCAGACTGACCCCTGGGGCACTCTGCTTGGTACCGGCTGCCAACTAGACATTGAGCCGTTGAGCACTACCTGTTGAGCCAGACGATCTATCCAGCTTTCTGTCCACCTTATAGTCCATTCATCCAATCCATCCTTTAACTTACTGGCAAGAATACTGTGAGAGACCATATCAAAAGCTTTGCTAAAGTCAAGGTATATGATGTCCATCGCTTTCCCCATATCCACAGAGCCAGTTATCTCATCACAGAAGGCAATCAGGTGGTCAGGCATGACTTGCCCTTGGGGAATCCATGTTGACTGTTCCTGATCACCTTCCTCTCCTCCAAGTGCTTCAAAAAGGATTCCTTGAGGACCTGCTCCATGATTTTTCCAGGGATTGAGGTGAGGCTGACCAGTCTGTAGTTCCCCAGATTCTCCTTCTTCCCTTTTTTTAAAGATGGGCACTCTGGTTGCCTTTTTCCAATTGTTCAGAGTGCCTAGGATCAAAGACCAACAACCTTCTCAGCTGCAATATGGCAGCCCTTATGGGCTAGTGAAAGAAATTGATGACGGATATGATAATAGGGGACTTTTGAAATGAGATCCAGTACAAATCCACAAAGACGACAATGCTGAACCATACAGTATATAAAACATACCTACCAAAGAGTCTCTTTGGAAGAGACTAGATGCAGATTTATGCAAAGTCAGAGGACATCAAAATCTGTTTGGAGTGGATTGTTTTTCCAGGTATATAGAAATAATGCACTTGAAAGAAATAACATGTCATAGTGTTACTGAGAAATTGAAAATTATCTTTTGATCACTTCTGTATTCTAGAAAAACTAATGACAGACAACAGACTACAATTCACTGCAGCAGACTGTAAGTCATTCTGAATGAAATATGATTTTGATCATATTATTAGCAGCCCACATTGCCCACAAGCAAAAGGAGATGCTAAGAAAGCTGTACACACAGCCAAGAAAATCCTACAGCAGGAAGATCCATTCCTTGTTCTTCTGAGTAACAGAGCAATGCCAACAGCAGCTACTGGATACAGTCCAGCAAAACTCCTGATGGGAAGACAACTCAGGTTCTTTTCCAAAACTTGAACAGTAGTTCTATCTCCAACATGACCAGACATGAAGTAGCCCAATAGGATAAAAAGGCTAAAAAAAAAAAAAAAAAAAAGAACTTATGAACACTTTTACAACATATCACTTGTTTAGAGAACTGCCAGATCTACCACCTGGCGACCATGTTTTTGTCAAATTAGATGGAGAAAAGGGATGGACAACTCCAGCTGCTGTAAAGAAATAATTCAGCACCACGATCATATGTGATTGAGACCAACAGTGGAGAGTTCAACAAAAACTGTCAACGTCTACAGTTTGTTCCTCAGAAAGAACAATGAGCTGAACAAACTCTACAAATGGCAGATGCAGAACATGAAGAACACTCAGATTCCAAACTGACCAGAGACAGTCATTGCAGCTAGCTAGATGACCGATTTGTTGTGTTTGGATCATGTAATTAGAAATTTAACACATTTCAGAGATATTTAACAGACTGATCCATACTGAACAAAGCGTGTGATAGTGTAAATATTGTAAATGGTGGGAATGTAGAACTTAAAGGGGGAGATGTAATGGAATGCTAAATTGTATTTTACTGTTCAGTCACTAGTGTGTGTGTGTGTGTGTGTGTGTGTGTGTGTGTATGTATGTAAAATACCTTATTTAAACAAATCTCAGCCATACCTGGCAAAGCCTGAAAGGATTTTATGATGAACACATCTGGAGTGTATATGCAAGCTGTGTAGCTCGTCCATGTCTGGTACAAGAACATGACACTCCGCTCATGCCCATGAGGGGGAAGGGTCAGTCACATCTCCCTTCCCATACTATGAGTACTTTATGCACTCTGTGTTTATGGTAAATCTGGGTGAATTAGGGTAGGGGGTGGACGACATGTCCAACCACTCCCAGCCCCTCCTGGCTCCATGCAGCTTAGGCCAAAAAAAAAAACAGTTTAGGGCTGATTTATCTTTCCTCTCGTCACATCCCAGAGCTCCCACAGCCATGGCAGCCAGAAGGACTTGCTCATAGCATGGCTACACTGAACTGCACTCCCATAATGCAGTGATTGAGGGAGCTATCTGAGGGAATCCTCCCAGAGATTTCCTATTCCAGAACCTCCTCCCACAGGTTTTTTTCCATAGGAGGGTATGATCAAGGCCTGTCTTATTTCTGATGAAAAAACATTTAATCAAAGTCATTAACATTAGGATAAATGTTCATAATAAACTACAGCTAATGACATTCACAAAGTTTAATTTAACAGGTTTAATTTTAAAGCCAGTGTTAGCATTAAGCAAGCAGAGGAGCCAGTAAACCTAGAAATCTGCAATATAGGCAAAGAAGGCAATCAATACTCTTAATTTGATAGGGGAATTTATTTATAATAGGAGATAAGTGCTCTTCATACAGTACATTTTGGACAATATTACAGTCCTGTACATTTTAAAATTGTGTCTTATAATTGTCATAAGTTGTAGTGTGTTCATTTGGACAAATCCTGAAACCCGTGCTCACATCATTGAGAGTTATACCTGATTACAGACTGTTTTAGGGCATTCTTGGTAAAAAATTAAAAGAACCACCCCTGTAGGAATGTCTGTGGATTGTGGAAATATTTCTGAAGTCCAGTGCTAATATTTCATGAATCCATTATAGTGAGATAAAGACTACAAGGTGGCTAAGCATAAAATAATAAATATTGCTGTTCCAGTGCCTATCAAGCTAGTAATTTCATTCTCTCCTTTTTTTTAGGATAATCCATATTTTGACATGCACTTTGAGAAGGTCTACAGTTGGGAAGCATATAGCTGTGCATCTAAATATGCCTTTGCTCGAACGTTAAACAAATTGAACTACATGTACCTTAAAAAGGACTTGAAGATTGTGAACTTCGATATAACCTACATAAATGATGATTCACTCTGGTCATCCAACAATGGGGACTGTTTAGTACTTATGAAGATATGCTTCTATGCTTCCAACCTTTTGTGTCTGTCCCTGTGTCCTATGCCATAAAGATGGATTTTATAACAATAAGGTGACTAGCTGGCTTCAAGTGCCAGATTCCAACAAATCTGATATAAAAGATAAGTGCTATGCAGTATTTGCTATTTAATTTTACATATCAACCAAAACCAGAAACCTCATTTTTATATAGATAATGAACTGTTTCTTTCAGTAAGATCCCAATCATGCAAACACTTACACACCAGCCTTCATACAGGTAGTGCCACACGCAGCTGCAGTTACATGCAGGCTCTCTGTCCAGCCCCTGCAATGAACCAACAATGGAAAGGCTACAGCTAAGGCAACTCCCCAGGCATGCACCCCCTCTGGAGTATAAACGCAAAAATTATACCCTCTTGCACTGCACAGGGAACTATAAAGAGTAAGCTCATAAAGTTCGCCCCCTCCCTCAATGTAGAGAGGAATATGCAATAGCCTTTGCCCCTTGAGCTAAGATTCCCACACACTTCACTCCAACTCACTGGTTTAGATAAAGCAAAAACAAATGTATTAACTACAAAAGATAGATTTAAGGGATAGCAAACAGATCAAAGCAGATTACCTAGCATATAAACAAAAAACACAAACTAAGCCAAATATACTAGGTAGATTGGATATGAATTAGCAGATTCTCACTGTAAGAGATGATACAAGCAGGTTGCAGATTCTTAAGGGGCAAGCTGCACTTGCTTGGTTCCCAAACCAGTCTGTGGAAAAATATTGACATCCCAAGATGGAGTCCACAGACATGTGGTCTGGTCACATGTCCTTGTAGAGAGTCATAGCAGCCATTACTTGGAGGCTCTCTGTAGGATTCTCAGGAAGGTTCCCCAGGTGGGAGATAAGCTTCTCCTAAGGCCTATTCTTTCCTAATGGCCCATTGCCCTGAATAGGCCCTTCCCCACCCACTATCTAGACTGAAAGCATCTTGTCTAGTGGGCATTATCCAGGTGTAACTACATTTGAAATACAGATACATAGTCAATATTCATAACTTCAGATAAAAATGAAATATGTATAAAAATAGGATAATCATATTCAGCAATTCATAACTTTTCCAATTATACCTTACATGATTTATCTTGCATAAAATGCATCATAATTATGCTATAACCAATCATAATATCACTATGAAAAATATGGGATGCATTGTCACTGTGGGGAAGCATGTGTCTATTATACTTTTTTTACAGAGTGTCAAATACTTTTTCATTTTTAACTTCCATCACTTGTGCTACCCTCTTAACAATTTAAAGTTAATATTTCCTGATTAATTTTGCCTCTTTCTATTTGCCCCTTTTTTGAGCACAAGTGAATACAAATATATATATTTTGTTCACATCATTTTCTTTGAATCAACTTTGATGCTAACCTAGTTTTGGGAACACAGTTTAACATCCACACTTTCTTCAGCTCTGGAGCAACAGTGACACTGGATAGGAAGGGCTCTGAGTTCCTACAGAGTATTCTTTTCCAGGTTGGGTCTTGCTGAAATGCTCAGGGTCCAAATGACCATCATATTTGGGGGCAGAGACCTTGGGGATTTTTCACCTTTCTCTGCTATATGGGGCCTAGGTCACTTGCAGGTTTCTACTGGAATAAATGTTGAATTCTCTGTAACTTTAAATCTTTAAAGAGGACTTCAGTAATTCAGCCAGAAATTATGGGTCTATTACAGGAGTGGGTGAGTGAGGTTTTGTGGCTTGCAATGGCTCTAACAATTTCTCAGCATATTTTCAGTATGTTACTTAAATGCATATTAATGCCTTTGATTAAATGTAACAATTTAAATAATTGGGTGGCTTTTTAAAAAGCGTTCAGCATTAGCCTACCTCTACTTCCATTGAAGTCAGTTGTTTTACCATTGAGTTCAGCACTGGCCTAATTGCTCCCATTGAGTGCTTTTGGGAATCTTTCTCATAGTCAATTGTAAGAGGTCCGGACTCACCTCTGCAGCACCTCCTGCTGGTCGTCCAGGGAATTAGCTCACCAGCCTCTGGAGCACCCTCTGCAGGCCAGTGATCTGCCTTGTCCTCTGCACTGGCCCCCCCTGTCCCTCCCAGGACCCCTGTGCCCCTTGCTCTGGGTGCTGCCCCCTGGCAATAGCCATACATATGCTAGGTCTCCCCTCCCAGGGGAACCCCCACCCACTAACCCCACCTCACCTCAGGTGAAGGCCACTGCCAGTCACCAGCTAGCCCCCACTCTCTGGGGCAGACTGCAGTATAGGCCACTCATCATCAGCAAGGTTGGGTTCGGACCTGCTGCCTTGGCCTAGCCCTGGGCTGCCCTCTGCAATCCCCAGTACCCCTTGGCCTATTACCAGGCCGCAGCCTGGGGCTATCCAGGCTGGAGCTCCCCAGCCCTGCTCCGCTCAGGTACACGAGCTCTAGCTTGCTGCAGCCAGGCCCTTCTCTCTCTGTATTCAGAGAGAGACTCTTGAGCTCTTGGCTCCCAGGCTTCTTATACAGGCCAGCTGGGGCCTGATTGGGGCATGGCCCAGCTGTGGCTACTTCCCCAATCAGCCCAGTAGCTTTCCCCTTTGCCCCAGCCCTCTGCCAGGGCTGTTTTAAACCCCTCAGGCAGGAGCGGGGTAACCACCCTGCTACACAATATTAAGAACTGGATTGTAACCCTACAATTCAGCATCAGGAAAGGATAATTCATAGCTGTGTTGCCCCAGGAGCAAGGCCACAGGAGCAGAATCACAGGGTTTCTGCTTCCCCTTTGTTCCAGGCGAAGTAATCTGCAGCCGTCTTTTTGCTAGTCCTCCTGACCAGCATTTCCAAATTAATTTCAGAGAAATATGGGGTGCGAGGCCCTGGAGAGGGGGTTTGGCTCCCAGGGTGGGAGGCCCCTGAGTGCCACTGTATACTTTTCTACTAATCATACACATCTTTAGAAATACTATTGCCAATAGATAAGGTGGGATCTTTAATATATGTCTATGGTTACTACATTAAATCTGTATTTTGTAAAAATAATTACACTCTGGATTCACTGATTCTTCCCACCAACTAAGAGCTAAAGTTTTACCAAATTAAATCTATATATAAGGTTGTTAATTTCAATTTATTTTAATCCTTTACTATTACTCTTATGCTGCTTTTGCAAACATATGGGGAAGTGGAAATCTTTATATTAAACTTTCATTACAAAGCGCACAGCTTTTGGGGTCTGGATGGGGAGGACTATGAAAACTGGCTCTTTTCTGAGAGCATCAGAGCCCCCAGAGAATTTCTGGTTTGAAATCTGGAGTGGGGAAGAAGGACTTGACGATGGAGGAAATACCCCAAACCTGTTATAGAATCTCCCAAACCTCAAGAGATCATCAAGTCCAGTTCCCTGTACTGATGAAGGACCAAGTAAACCTTGTTTGTCCAACCTCTTCTTCAAAACCTCAGTGATGGAGATTCCAAACTCCCTTAGAAGCCTATTCCAGATTTTAATTACCCTTGTAGTTAGAAGGTTTTCCTGAATATCTAACCTAGATCTCTCTTGCAGCAGATTAAGCCCATTGCTTCTTGTTCTACCTTAGCTGAACGTGAAGAACAATTGATCATTGTCCTCTTAATAACAGCCCTTAACATATTTGAAGACTATCAGGTTCCCCCCAACTCAGTCTTCTTTTTTCAAGACTAAACATGCCTTTTGTTCAAACTTTCCGCATCGGTCAGGTTTACTAAACCTTTATCATTTTTGTAGCTCTCTTTGAGACACTCTCCAATTTGTCTACATCTTTCCTAAAATGTTGATTCATATTCAATTTGTGATCCATTTTAACCCCAGATCCTTTTCAGCAGTACTATCATATTTAGTTCGTATTTTGTAGTTGTGCATCTGATTTTTTTCCTACCTAAGTGTAGTATTTTGCACTTGTCTTTATTGAATTGCATCTCGTTGATTTCAGGCCAATTCTACAATTTGTCATAGTTGTTTTGAATTCTAATCCTGTCTTCCAGAGAGCTAGCAACCCCTCACAGCTTGATGTCATCCACACATTTTATAATCATATTCTCCATGCCATTCTCCAAGTTATTAATGAAAATATTGAATAGTACCAGACCCAGGACTGACCTCTGCAGGGGCCCACAATATATCCTCCCCCCCCCCCCCCGTTTGACAGAAAACCAATGATAACTACTCTTTCAACCATTTTTGCACCCACGTAATAGCAATTTCATCTAGACTTCATTTCCCTAGTTTTCTTATGAAAATGTCATGTGGGTTTGCGTTAAAAGCCCTACTAAAAATCAAGATATATCACGGCTATTGGTACTGCTTCCCACCGAACCACTAGACCAGTGAACCTTTCAAAAAAGGAAATTAGTTTTTTTTGGCATGTTTTGTTCTTGACAAATCCATGCTGGTTATTCCTTGTAATCTTACTATCCACTACGTGCTTACGAACTGATTCTTCAATCATTTGTTCCAGTATCTTTCTAGGTATTGAAGTTAGGCTGACTGCACTATAATTTCCCAGGTCTTCTTTGTTCTTCTTTTTAAAGATATGTACTATGTTGCTCTTCTCCAGCCCTCTAGGACCTCACCCATTCTCCATGAATTCTCTAAGATAATTGCTATCAGTTCCAAGATTGCTTCAGCTAGTTCCTTAAGTATCTGACAATTAATTTCATAAGTAGAGCCCTGCAAATCCGTGGATATCTGCTTCATATCCATTGACCATTTTTGCGGATAGTGGATTGGATGTGGATACAACCACGCAGGGCTCTACGCACCAGCTTCCAGCTCGGGCAGCCTGGAGGGTGCAGCACGCTCGGGGCTGGCGGCAGCAGCCAGTGGCTAGGGCTGGACGGCAGGTTGGAGTCGGGGCTGTCAAGCACCCGCTCGTCATGCTGCTTCCTATCCAACAGCTCAGGCCTCTCGGGCAGCACCAGAGTCCCCATCAGGGCACGGCCTGGCAGCACTGACTGCGCTCCCAATCCTGGGCCTGGCCCGATGGCTCCTGGGCAGCAGGGCCCACCCCCGGCCATGGGAATTGGAGCGGACGGTGCCCCAGTGCTCCACCCCTCCGCCCCACTGTGATGCAACATGCGCTGCTGCTGCTGTGTGCCGTCGCTTGCGAGCCCCTGGGAGCAGCATGTGATGTGAAGCCCCTTCCCTCCAGCATCTCCTTTGCGCTGCCTCTTCCCTGCAAAGCCCTGCTGCCCGCTCCTTCCCTTCCCTCCCCCCCGTTGCTAGTCCTTGTGAGACGGCTTGCGGATGCGGATATATGTAAAAGATGGCTAGTGCAGGGCTGGGCAAATTACGCCCGCGAGCCATTTTAAGCCAGCCCTCGAGCTCCCACTGGGGAGCAGGATTTAGGGCTTGCCCTACTCCGGCGCTCCAGCTGGGGCACAGGGTTGGGGGCTGCTCCACATGGCTCCCAGAAGCAGTGCAATGGCCTGCCTCTGGCTCCTATGCACTCCAATGGCCCCGCCCCAGTGGCCCTCTCTGGTGTTCCAATGGGAGCTGCAGGGGCGGTGCCTGCGGACAGGGCTGCACCTCTGCATA